GTTAACGCCTAAAGGTCAAACGTTATAGAAAACTTCTCAGGCACCTCTGATCTACCAATGAAACAGATAGAGAAAAGCATAGAGAAGTCGACCAGCTTAATTACCCTCGGCTTAATCATCTCCAACGATGGAATCATACGTCCAGTATTAAATAGAACGATTACCCTCACATCCAGCGTTTTCAGTAACTTGTGAATTATCTTAACTGAGAAAGGGCTAACGGTATCCACAAGAATCAACCTGAATCAATCTTTAAATCAGTACTGTTGTATGACATGGAGACAGTTGTTCCAATAAAGAGCAAGGGCGACGATTGAATTGCATGCAGCAGCGTTGGCTTCGACGCATAATGAGAGTTGCATGGCAGAACGACGCAAATAATGGCCCTTCTCTTCCAGGGAACAGATGGTTTAAACAGTCCTAGACGTCAGTCTTGATAATCAAACTGACTAGGCATACACCATTTACTCAAGCCTGTGAGTTTCTCTTGTGGGAGCGGAAGCACGGCAGCTTTTGGCCAGGGGGCGAACAGCCTTGAGTATCAAGGAAGGGGTAGATCAGGTTTTGAGGTGCTCATTCTAAGTTGCAACAATCGCTGACTTGTGGCAAAAGTATGTAAAGCTACGAATACAACGGACATCACAAACCAAAGATATTCTGTTTATGTAAACCGCTCATGGTGATGATTACACAGGCACATACGCATATTTTAGCTATTATTGAATAGAAAGTATATTTGGAGCCTGAACTGTATATGTTTGAAAAACTTTAGAAAGCATCTGCATATTTAGATAGAGTTGCGAATTGGCGATGTGCTGATAACAACGCGAGCTGCATAAACTAATAAACTTAAAATGATTGAAATACGGTAGTTTCCAGTATCAGGCAGAGTACATAGTCAGAAGTTTTTTTCAAATATACTGTCATGTAAGAAAAAACCATTTGGTCGTCTAATGGTTTATGATGAGACTTTTATGGCTACAGTGCCGAACAGATGAAATATACCCTATGTATCAAACCCGGCTACACGATAGTTTATTTATGCTACTACCTGATCTTAACGATGTGAATACTAAAGTCTCTCTTAAACTCTATGCCATCCATACCGTGTCATATGCGAAAATTTGTTCGGCCCAGTCACATTGTACCCGAATGAGGTCCTAATTAGAATTCCACTAATTGTTTTGCGACCATACCAGTGATGTATGCTCTTCCTAGCAAGAACAAATATCCATTGATCTTTGTGAAGAGAGCAAGCGACTGGGTAGCATTAACCAGTCATTTCTAACGGCAAATGTGCCATTATATAAATCTGACTGATACAATAAAAGTGGATTTGACAGGAGCTTCTAAAATTTAACGCTTTTATCATTTATAGCCGTGCAGAAATTAATTCCAAACGAAAGGCGTTGTGCTCTGGAAATGCCAACATGTCAGGGTGAAAATCTTGGCTACTCTAACGACAGTTATATTGACAAACATAGGGGCATCGATGCATATCCGCAACAAGTCAAATCATTTGGCTGGAAAACGCTGATATATTCAGTATTCAGTTGAGACCTGGTTTCTTAGTGTAGTATCGTTTATCTTGTGTCATATTCGAATAATTGTCAGATGCATGCTTGTGCAGACTAAGGCAAAAATGCTGTGCAGTTTTATTAAAGTTTGAGCAATATACTATGATGGAAATTACTGCTGCAGGGTTCACTTCCTAACTCCTGCACTCCTGCAGAGTTGCGGCAAAATTTGCTCTCTAAGAAATGAGTTGCAAAGCGAGCGGTTGCCGCTCGCAACTTAACAGATAACTAGAATCCATATAATCAGCCCTATGGGTTATGTACAGCACAAGAAAGAAGTTTACTGCTACATGCTGATGCATCCATTCCTTGTATGGCGAAGGTAAATTCGATGATTTCTTTCGTCCAGAGGTACCTTAACAACGAGCCAACTGAGGTTCGAAATAAGATAATTTCTGTAATACACGGTGTATACACAGGACAAGGTCGTAAGAGACATCAAATTCTGGAATTTAGATGCATCTACCGCACATAAGTACATATTCAATTTTAACATGTTTTAGTTTTGCATCAGAAACATAATTCACCACGAAAAGTCTTGACTTAGGCAAAAACCAGATACCGTTATCCAACAGACAGAAAAAACAATTATTC